TCCATCTCTTACCCCGGAACAGCGTGATGATGGCACCGCTACTCCGTTTGGTCCAGCTTCGCTCGAAGTTGGCGAGTCCATGACCGAAATTCCGAGGTAACTGTATTCGGATCAACTTTACTCTGACCTTTTGGAAAATCATGGTCTCACACCTACAGGAAAATGCTACCTCCCAAACTTAGTATTTATAAATATTTTCATTGCAATAGTTAGAGTACCACCTTACTCTGATACCAGGCCTTTGGCCCATGGAAATCCTTAGACTCTTTTTTTTTTTGCACCAATCAAACTAAAGGTAAAGAGTCATTAGATATTAACGCTAGCAGTAACAAAGTTCTCTTCAACACTTATGTTTGTGGTAAAGTGATTTGCTCAAGAGGTTCCTAAGTTCAACTCTCAATGAAAGCACCGATTGTCGGAACCAAATTTTGCTCAACCGCTTATGGTGGAGATGCCTAAACTCGTTAATTTGTAAAAGAACAAACAACCATAAGTAAGCCAAAGACCGGGGGGGGGTGTGCCGGTCAAAGGCTTTCCGAAGATCAAGTTAGTAAGAAATATTAAGACTCAAGCAATATGCAAGGGAATACGTATGCAGAGATAGGGTTATCAGATATGAATCTTAGAAGTGTGTATTTATACCAGTCGTGGAGAGGACCTGTTAGATAGTAAAATCTTTATTGAACCAAGAAAATCCATGAGGATATCTAGGAAATATATATGGCATTCTCTTAGGAGTATGATTACTTATGGTGCACGCTAGTCTTTAGATTGTAAGGACTTCAAGACTATAGGAAACCTGTTGGTTTCTTGCTAGATTAGGTTCCTGAATCTTGCGAAACAAGCATAATCTATCTCAGGGAAAACGAACTTAGGCCACTGATTCCAAAACAGGATGATGGTGGCATCGCTGATCTACTCCGCATTGAAGGCTGTTGTGTTTATGATTGGACTTTTAAAGTATGCATATTCCGATCCGTGTTAATCTGGCCCTGGAAAAACATGGTTCCACATAAGAGATCTTGGAGGTAGTCAATCATTGGAATTAAGTCTAGGTCTAAAGGTACAACTCACAAATCCCTCTCTTTATTCTTCAATATGTTTCTTTGATGCTTCAACTATGAACCTATGCTTCTTAAACGGGATTTCCATAACTATTGATTGTTTTACTTCCGTTGCTTATGTATATAAATTCTGAATTGTAAATGCATGCAAGTCATTAGAAATTCCATAGAAATCTCCATAGTTCCCTTCATTATATATATATGTGTGTGTGTGTGTGTGTGTGTGTGTGTGTTGTGTATGTATATGTATATATATATATATATGTTTGTATGTATATATATATATATGTGTGTGTATGTATGTATATATATATATTCATTATATATATGTGTGTGTGTGTGTGTGTGTGTGTGTGTGTGTGTGTATGTCTGTATGTATATATATATATATGTGTGTATGTATACATATATATGTGTATGTATGTATACATATACATATATATATATATAGGAAGTCTTTAAGGGAAGGGATCCTCATTTTTTTATAAAAATGAGGATTAGTTGTGGGGTCCACACCACATCGAACTTTAACGATCCGAACCGTCTATTTTTCAAGTTGCACATCATAGATCATTCTTGAAAAATATTAGCTAAATCGGAAATATTTAAGACATCTAATTGGGTTCAAAAAAATTAACGAATACTTTGTTATATAAGAAACAAAAAAAATTATGTTGATAATTAAATAGTAACTACTTTCAGATTGAATTGAATTTTTGTAAGGATGATCTATGAATCGAGACTTACAAAATAGACTGTTCATATCGTTAAATTTTGATGTGAAGTGGGCGCCACACCTAATCTTCATTTTTTGAAAAAAAAAAAATGGAGATCCCTTTGCATAAAGGGCCATATATATATATATATATATATATATATGAAATCTCCAACATACTGGACTACAGAAAGTGATAATTAGTCATTAACCTCCAACTATCGTAAATAATTTATAGAAATTTATTCTGATGTAGAAAATAAAAAGCGCTCGTGCTAAGACAAGCCTAAATTCTATGTGTCATATTCTTAAATTTGGGACCTTCGAGAGCAAAAAGAAAATAATTTACCCCTACCATAACGAGATTGATGAATATGGAATCACCTAATTTTGTAAAAGACGTAAATAATTTACCTCATACGGTAATTTTACATACAATGATTCACTAGTTAATGAATTTAGTGATTGTATCAACTTACACATTTTATTTTTTATTTGAGGAAAAAAAAAAGAGTGTTAGACTACATGACCATCAAATGATAAAATGATAGGATGCTTTGACGTAAGAAAATTACTTTTTTAGAGAGTACATTACAATTGCAAACAACTGCATAAACGAAAATAAATAGCAATTTATTTCCCAAAAAAAAAAACCAAACTCTTTTATCCTAAACTTTCAGAGTAATAAAGACTAAATATGTAAACACAATTTGTAAACTAAATAATGCGTCACCAATTAAAACTAAACACATTTATCAACTTATATGTCATTTAATTTATAATTTTTTGCCTATAAATTGTGTCCTTGAAAAAAGCCTTAGTGGTTAAAAGCTCATTACATTGCTCCCTAGGTAATAAAATCAAAATTTTTTCAAGAGCAATTGACCGGACAACCTATTACTCCTAGTAAAATATCCCCCTTGTCCAATCACAACTCATAGACCCGTGTTATGACCGGCATCTCTGGGTTTCTCGTTTACAACACCGGTTCGCCACTTGGACTCCACCCCTGTTGGCTCTAGCTATAAATTCACTTGACTAGAATCCTGCCCTTTCAATGGACACAGATAAAAAAACATAAAACATGTTACAGAGAGAACTAGAGAGAGAAAGATAGAGGTAGAGAGAAGAGAGACAGAGATAGCAAAAGCAGTGACAGAAATGGAACGTATGGGTGGTGGGCTTCCTCCAAGGCATGCAAAATCGTCGAACCCTGGTAAAAGTCTCTCTTAGCAAAGGTCATCTTGCTTTGCTCTTTTATTTATTGATATATTTTTCATATTACTTGTTTTAATTTCTTCTTGATGATTTTATATATGTGTGTGTGCATATATAAAATAAGAGTTAGTTTTCTGATTTTTTTTTTCATTTTCTTATTTGTTTATGGAATTTTGTTGCATACATATCTATTTCTCTTCAAAATTTAGTGACCCATATTTATTCTCTTCCTCTCTCCATTTTTCCCAAATATAGTTTTTTCCAAGGCCGATCTCAAAGTTTTTGCATCCTGCATTTGGTGGTCTTTTGCATTTATTTGTGTTTGTCTCAGCTCCTTATGTGCTGAACTGCTAATATCATAGACATATCTCTGATCTTTTTAGGGTTTTCATTGTTTTGTCAAGATTTTAACATAATTTTTTTCATGGACGATTTTCCCTGCTTGATACAGTTTGTGTGTGTTCATGCTTTTTTATTTATTTGTGTGTTCGATTTTTGGAGGAAGTCAAATGTATTTCTTCCCTGTAAGAATAAAATTAAATTTTATGTTATTTTTTTGCTATATTTTTTACATTATTTTCCTCTATTGCTAACAATTTTTTTTACCCGGATCTAAATGCCCCTTTTATTTATTAGTTTTTGGCCGAATTTTTGTTACAGCTCGTCTAGCTAGTTCGTTTCAAAGTAACGCTTGCTCAAATATAGGTTGTATTTTTATGTAACCACTCATGGATATCTGGTTCTACGCTTACAGTGGCATTGTGATGATCTGTAATACACACACACATACACACCTGCATACATGCATATGCATACACACACACACACACGCACACATATATATATATACCTACTGGCTTAATTTTTGTCTGATTATAATTGTTTCTTAATATGAAAAACATTATTAGCTCTGCTTTTACTTTGATTATTAGAAATTAGAAGCGTTTCAGTCACTCAAAAATCTGAATTTTTCTTTACATATATAGAGGAAATATATATATATTCAAATCTGATATTTTACAGAAGAATTTGAGTAGCTATAAGGCAATATACCATCACATGAAAAACCTTGAAGAGCTGATAGGGTTTCAGGCTGGGAAACGAGTTGAACAGTGGTAGAGGGATTAGGTAGGACCCAAAAGGGGGTCGTTTCGTGTATGGGACCCAATTTTCCGGTTCTTAAAAGAGCCGTTTACACAGTCACAGTGATACGTGGACATGCAAGCGCGTGAGGTGTGAATTTATTCTTTAATTTTTCAGCTTAGGTGGCTTAGCGAATAGACAAAAACAGAGTGATAAGGAGTAACCGTTACTGTGGAAACATAATCACAGGCAGGTGAGCTCGTGAAGTTTACGCGCATGTTAAGGATTTATGGTCTGCACATCGTTCTCTAGTCAATCACTATTCACCCCGATTATTTAGATTATCAATAGTCTATATATATAGGAAAAGAAAACAAATGTCAAAGTCTAACAGTCCATGCAATTTTATGGATGGCCAATCATTCGTATTTACGTAAATGGTTGATGTTCGTTGATTGTTGCTAATTTTGTAGTAAATTTCAAGTTAGTTAATTATTCACTAAATTCGACATTTCTCTCAAACATTGCATTCAATGAATTTTTAGATTCAAGAGAGGACACGTCCATAATTATATATTAAGTGTTCCTAGTGGTAAGTTTACAAACCAAATAGGATTAAGAGTTAGTCTACGAGATAAGAATTAAAATAGAATAAATTCAACATTATTGTGACATCCCAAGTAGCTAATAAAAGAATATGTGAGGCATTCTCAACATAACCTGTCATTATATTGGTATACAGTTTATGGTAAGTAGTGGCAAAAACCTCTTTGATTGGCCATGCCATTTACAATATCTGCACATACACACAGACAATTAATGATTCAAACCCCATTAATATACACCCTAACACTGATTAATATAACCATAAACCATGTCTTCCTTACCCATTAATTAACTGACCACAAATTGTTACTTTCAACGTTCCTCGGGTAAGTTTTGCATGGCCCTCGTTTCCACAAATAACTTTTTCTTTTTCTTTTTTCTCTTTTTTTTCGAATTCAAGTTACTCATTTATGAGCGTATCTGTACAGTGAATAATTAGTTGACTTACATTAATTGTTTTCTTCCCACCTTGCACGCAGCCAACTCCAACAGTTCCGACGGCGGCAATGCCATCGCAAACACCAGCAACCCTGCCAACCCCGCCGGCAATAGCGACAACAACACTGTACAGAGGGCCCCGCAGTGCCTCGTTCGCGAGCAGGATCGATACATGCCGATAGCCAACGTGATACGCATAATGCGGAGGATATTACCCCCGCATGCAAAAATATCTGACGACGCCAAGGAGACCATGCAGGAGTGTGTGTCCGAGTACATCGCCTTCATAACCGGCGAGGCCAACGAGCGCTGCCAGCGCGAGCAGCGCAAGACTGTCACTGCTGAGGATGTCCTCTGGGCCATGGGAAAGCTCGGGTTTGACAATTACGTCGAACCCCTCACCATTTACCTCCAACGCTACCGGGAGTCTGAGAGTTCCGACCGCTCTCAGTTTGTTAAGAGGGAGGAGCGCCAGTCAATGGACTATTGCCCTCCTGGGCATGCTGGGCCCCAGGTTGCAATGATGCCTCCCCCGCCACCATCTTATGGGCCGGGATATTATTTCGGGCCCCAGCATGGTCCTCCGATGTATGACCCCTCAATGATGGGAATGTTTAGGGATGGTTCCTCCTCTGGTGCTGGTGGAGGCGGGTCATCGTCGGCTTCTGGGGCGCAGGGTGAGAACTCGTTGGGGGAATTTAACCCGTTTGGTCACTTCAAGTGATCACCACAGTTTAGAGACAGGTCTCAGCTGTTTAATTAACAGACATAATGAATAAATAATTGCATTAGTTTGCAATTAATTAGTAGTTATAAGTTATTGTGGTTGTTGTACGTAGTTTATCTCTATGTTTTAGCATGGTTGCAAAGTGGGTTTGCTTCCTTGAGTTCAAGGACAAGTTGGTTCCAGTAATGTAATGAATAACTTCATCCCTGGATGTTCATTCCTTGTATTACATGTTCAATCGTTAAGTTCATCCTCTGGATGTTCATTCCGTGTATGACATGTTCAATCGTTATTGGAGCTTTTCTGTTTTGGATACAAGGAGCAAATAGCTGGCTAAAACAAAATGAAAGCTTAATCTACAAACATAGATAGTAGCTTGGCAACTTTAAGTGTGGCTCGAACTGATGCAAAATGAAAATTTTGAGTAAAGAAAAGCGTGGATGGGTTAAATAGTTAGTTGTTAAGGAAGAAGGGAATCCATGGAGATGAAAATTAAAAATAGCTATTTGAGCATGTATACACTACCAGAAATTTGGCCTTCCCTACGAACTTTTGCTCGATGAACCATATTTTGTCGGGTAAAGGTATTTTATCCGACGAATTTGCAGCTTGTCAGGCATCGCTGGTCAATATTTAGGGTTTTACCCAAAATCTTTTATGCGACGGGAAGTTTTTGTAAAGCAAGGTGAAAATCGTCAGATAAATATTTAGCGGGAACTTTAACGAAAAACACCCAGTACTGTTCACTTTAACGAAAAACCACATTTTTACACTAAAAAGTCAATCCTGGTACTATTCACTTTACCCTTTATTTTATCCTTATCATTAAAACTCAAAGTTTTCAAGCCATTTTAATTAGTTTTCCTATATTTAGCACCAAAAGGGAAAAGGTAGCGTGTAATTTGAAAGGTTTCTTCGACGAAACATAGGTTTGTCAACTTGAAGACATGTGCCCGACAGCTATGTTCGTGGGGCCAAGTTTTCATGTTGTTACACAAAAGCACACAATAACCTGTAAAAAATCTACTGACAAAATTTTACTTGACGTCATCTTATGCTTGCCCTACGAAACGTTCCGTCAGGCAAACTCTTATTCATTTAAAAGGTTGTGCCTTCTTCTTTTTCCACTCTTCTTTTCTTCTCCCCCTCCCTCCCCATTGGCTGCTGCTTAAATCTGCATCTCTCACTCTCTCTCCCTCTCTCTCATTCACACCCTCTCATCTCTCCCTCTCCCAATTGATTTAAGTTTAGTTTTTTTTTATTTGCTAAATATTTTTTATTTAATTGTGTGACTAATTAATTTTGTTGTTGTAGGTTTGTGATTGGATTGAAAAAAAATTCAAGGAAAGGTATGTATTTATCCCTTAATTATAAATTAAGGTAAATTACATCTTACCTCCCCTTCCCCGATTTTTTGTAGGTTAAAAAATCTATTAAATTAACTGTTACGTGACGATGGAGCAGATACGGGATCCACATTTTTAATGACATGGAAGCAACTTTTCAACTTGTGAATAAAAAAAACAAATAAAATTTTTTAATTACAGACATAGGGATAAATAACACCATATGATTCATGCAATTCGATGTTGAGGAATAGTCAGAGCCGGCCCTGAGGATAGCTGGAGTAGGCGCCCACCTAGGGCCCCCACTTCGGAAGGGCCCCCAATTTTTAGGCGAAGCTAGGCGGGTATGGACGGGGATGGGTGGGAGCTATCCGGGCTTATATGTAAACGCTAGAATTTAGAAATCTTTTGTTGCAGGGTCGACCTCGTGCGAGGAAGAAGACAACTTTATTCCCAACATCATTTTAATTGCATGATTTTACTTAAGATCGTCCCACCATCTTTTTTTATAGCTGCATGTTTTCTCCCTTTTAAATAGTCTCCACCACCTTATTTTTATTTTTTTGCTTCTCTCGTAAATATCACCTTTATGTTTACTTTTATGAGGTTTTATTACCCTATTTTAATATGACACAACATATATCTTTATTATGTACCTAAAAGGCTAAAACTCTCACCTGTTTGAAAAATGACATTATTTAATGTTCAAATTAATTATTTTATATAATATATAATAAATTATTCAAATCTGTTTCGTCCGCCTAGGCGCGTATACGAAAATTAGTATCCTCTTCATTCTAGTATTTTTCCTAGTTGTAAGATGTTGTCTCTGTAATCCAACCATTTATTCATTTATTGAATGTAATAAGTAACATTGTAACAATAGAAAAATAATTGGAATTTGGCGTACTGGGTAAGGACTTCTCTTTCGGTTTGAATTGGTTGAAAATTTGGATTATGTAAACTTAATAAGTGCATTTGCATCTAAAAACGTGAGATGGGTAATATTTGAGTAATGTTTGTATATCTTTCTTCTTTTGATATTACTTTTTAATGATATTTGATGTAGAAATAGACTTTTCATGTATTTAGTGAATTTTTTTTACACGTGTCAATGTACAAAGGGTCGGGAGTCAAAGAACTCTAAGGCCCCATTTTGAAGGCTTGCCTAGGGCCCCCAAATTTTCAGGGCTGGCCCTAGGAATAGCAACAAGTTTGCAGCAAGCTCAGACATGTTGAAGGTCGTGCTAGCACAGGGTGGCAAAGTGTTGTGCAGAGCAGTGTTCATTTTATGCGGAACTTTTTGGGTTAATATTTAAACCTTGGGCTCTCAGGAAGGAAAGCCCAAGAGAGTTCAATAAAGAAGGTTTTTTCCCGAAGCCCAGAATCAAGCCCAGTTCATCCATTTTAAGATATTATGGCAGCTCCCCATTAATGCACAGGCCAGTTGCTTACAAGAAGTGACAACCGATGGAAGATCACCAACTTTTGGCCTAAAAGTGCTTTTTAGATGGCAAACACGTAAAAAGGCTGGTGACTCATTACCTTTCAGTTGCTTTCGGGCAAGAATAGAAACAACGCAGCTGGGCTAATTCGTCGATAAAATGAGGAAGAGGGCCCAGAGACAAGGACACTCAACCAATCAAACAAACAAACATACAACTTGTCTTATAGCCAAGCAAATACCCAGAAAGCCGTGCCTTGTCCAGACTCTGCACCATTTTAGCCTTATACTCCCGTAGAAAAACATCTTTTGTCTATGTAAAAGCTCTGCTACCTTTTCCCTAAATGTTGTAGTATCGATTTCTCATTGTAAACTCCTTTCCAGTCATCCCCTTTAGTACTTAATCTTTTTTGTAAACTGCCAAGGGAAGAGACCCCAAGACGTTTTAACCTTGCCCGACAAGGTGAAATCTTGCCCGACTCTCTTTGCTTTTGCCTTTCCAGTAATAGATCTGGTATTATAATGTATCCCTCAATAGATATGCAAGTCATTTTCGATCTCTTAATGATCCGAAGTCCCATTAACTCTCAGATCTAGTTTACTTAGTACTTTTACTATCGTGAAAGTAAATGAAGCTGATGTTCTGATTAGATATGGACCTCCACCCTTTGAAGCATATAAGATAAACAAAAGTCATTGACCTTAAGGCATAGAAAAGAACTTAATGTGGACTTACCCATCCACGACAATCCTTTGATAATGAGAAGTTAGAATAACTTGGGGCGCAAGTAATCGACTTAAATACATTCATTCTACATCTGCCATATAGAGATGGCAGTGGCACGCCTCAACACTTCGTTAGTTTTGATTGCGAGCCTCACACCCTACACCTAAGGCCCGATAAAGACACCATTCAGAACTAACTCTGTCCTCTTCTTGTAGCCTGGCAAGCAAGCGAGAACCCGACAGCCAACCAAAGTGCCAACTCATCAGGGAGCTATGTGTTCGAGCCAGGGACCTTCTTAGCGAAATTCATGTCCGAACATAGTTTTGGCACGCCTGGTGGGATACAAAGATATTGTATGCCAAGAAGATAAAGGAAAGAACAAACCTTCAGGTGAAAAGAAGAAAAACATTAGGATCTAGTATGGCAAATCTCCCCGAAGACTTGCAAGGATCCATCTTGATGGAAAACCAGACCATTTCTGAGAAATTAGGAGGGAAGGTCACGAATGAAGATTTGCAAGCTAGTATGATGGCTGTGATAAAAAGCATGGAGAGGAACTCTCTACAAATAGGAGAGGAAGTAAGCAGACTCTGTTCCTTAACAGGATATCTGCAAATAAGGCTGAAACTGGAGTACCCGACCCCGGAAAATGATCATGCTAAAGAAACCATGAGGGAAGTCAACCCGATGGAGGGACCATTTATTCCTTTGTTTCTTTACTTGAGAAAAAAAAGGGATAAAAGAAATAATGAGGAAGAATCTAAAGCCAGTCAACCAGTATCGGAAGAAATACTGGAAGCAGAGTCACCCGACCTTCTATCTTTACTAAATAATATGGGGCATAGTGAGCAAGAGAGAACGAAGTATGGAATGCCCCAGTGGGCGGGGGAATCTAGTGGGAAATGAGAGCTTACCAAAGCAGACAAGCCTTCACCTTATAGGCCACCACCAATGGCTACTAAAAGAGGAGAGTTCAAAGGGAAGAAGCCCGAGCCAAGAAAAGAGATTAACCCGGGCAATGATTGTAGACCGAAATGGGAACCACGTCCTTATACTCCACCTAATAATAGGACCAACCAATAACTCATAGATGAGTTGGCCGAGTTAAGAAGAATGGTGGTGAAGAATGCCCAGTCACAAGCTCGCCCGCTGTTTAGAATCGCTTATCAGAAGCCCTACTCGGAGTTTATCGATAAACATAATCCTTTTCCTCTCAACTTCAAGATGCCCGCATTTCCAACATTCAGCGGAGAAGATAACAATGTGTCGTCTAGGGATCACATCTTCAAGTTCGCCAACCATTGTGTAGCATTTGAAGACAATCCCAACTATAAGTTGAAGTTGTTCAAAAACTCCTTGGTGGGCTTAGCATCTCAATGGTATTCTTTGTTACCCCCAAATTCTATCACTGATTAAGGGCAAATGGAGATGGCGTTCCATGAGCAGTTTTACAGAATGGAACCAAAGATGACCAACAACGATCTAATTACCATCAATGATCTAGTTGAGGTAAAACAATATGAGCATGAATCTACTGAAAACTTCATTATGAGGTTCAGAAAGATAATGATAAGATGCCAGTTTCCTATCAACCATGTCCAGCTTATAGCTATCGCTCAGAAGGCCTTAAGACTACCCTTAAGGAAGAAGTTTTATG